CCCCAAAACCCCAAAACCCCAAAACCCCAAAACCCCGAATGCCTAAGTTAGTCAAATTTTATTTGCAAAATAGTGATGAGATATTAACTGAAACTGAAATTCCTGAATGATTCAAACAGTGCCTGCTTGGTTAATGACATGAGCTAGTGTTTTTACCAATTTTTTCGCATAAACTAGGTTAATGTTTTCGTTAGGTCCATGAATGTTAGCTCCTGGTCCAACAAGTCCCATTGCTACAATTTGAGTGTCTGGATACTTCTTTTGGAGTTCATTGAGGAAAGGAATACTTCCACCTTCTCCGAAAGAACCGTAGTCTTTTCCACCGAAGAATTTATGACCAGCTTCAGTGAGGGCGTTGTGAAGCCATTCTTATAGATGCTTTTGACACCATCCATTACCAGCATGACCACCACTTACAGTGACCTTTGCATTATAGGGAACATCAGTTGTCAATTTGTTGGTAATAATCTTCTCAGCTTCGTGAGCGTCGAAGGCTGGGCAAAGTCTCATTGAGCATCTGATTGTGGTCTTTGGTCTGAGGACGTTTCCAGCAGCTGCAATGGGAGGAAGACCCTCAGCACCAGTAATTGAAAGATTTGGTCTCCACACCTTGTTCAAGTAGAGTTCTGGAATATTGTCTTCGTTTATATATTGAACACCTTCATTAAGATTATACTTCTTGAATAATTTGTCTCCATACTTCTCAGAAAGACTATCAGCCTCTTGTTACTTGAAATCTGGAACAGGCACTTAAAGATCTTCTGTCACTCTTCCAGTATCGCAGTTATCTAATCTGTTAAGAAGAGCTCTTGCAACTCTGAAGGTTTCTGGAATAATTCCTCCGGTCTCACCACTGTGATATCCAACTTTTCCTCCTTCAATAGTAAGATCAACATTGCAGACTCCTCTGAGTGATGAAGTTAACCAAAGTTAATCATAATCTAAAGCTCCTGAATCCATACAGAAGCAGGCATCTGGCTTGCCAATAACATCCTCTGCTAAATTTAAGAGTGGGATAAGATTTGGACTGCCTGACTCTTCTTCAGTTTCAAGTACTAATACTACTCTGGGGAGTTTTCCACCAGCTAGTTGAATTGACTTAACTGCAAGCATGGTTGCAAATGCTGAATATCCATCATCTGAGGAACCTCTACCGTACATGTAATCTCCTCTGATTTGAGGATCATTGGGGGCAAGACCCTCTTCCCAACCAGCACCCCATGGTTGTTTGTCCAAATGACCATAGAGCATGACATTTCTAGTAGCACCTTCGCTTCCATCAATAACATAGACTACTAATGGATTTGATCCCTCTGGGTGGAAAACGTGTCTCTTTAATCCTTATACATCTAGCTTGTTAATATAGTTGTCAACACATTCCATAGCTTGTTGAATAAGTCCATTAGTAGCGAAGTTATTGTCAGCCATCATGGTTAGATTGGGAACTCTCACAAAATCTGAGAGGCCTGGAACAAACCAGGAGTCGTAATGCTCGTCAACGATTGTAGCTGTATCTTTGCTTTCCATTTTAAGATATTTACTTTTCTATTATAATTTAGAATTCACATCTTCATATCTTTAATTCCTGCATTTAGGGGTTTTGGGGTTTTGGGGAGATCGGAAGAGCGTCGTGT